GTAAGTAATATATATATATATATATATATATATATATATATATATATATATATATATATATATATATCATTTTTTATATAATTATAAAAAAAGATTCTAAAATAACAATATTAAGAGTCCCTAAATTTGTGAGGTAAAAAACTTTGCGGAGGATCCCTATATATTTACATCTCCCTTTTCTGACATTTTACTTTAGCTGTCACAATTCTGATGGCCGACACTTCTAGTACCTCCGGTATCACCAGTAGCACCGCCGCTTCTACGACGGCAAACCCACCGGAATCCAAAAGTTGGGCAGACCAAGTCGACGAGATCGATCAAGCTGAGCAGTCGGCAGACCAAGCTGAGCAGTCTTCCGCTTCGAACGAAGAAGGCGCTACTGCCGAGATAAATATCGGATCTTTACAAGTCGATGAGTCCAAAAGAGAAAACTCCACTCTCTCTGAGCCGGAAGATTCAAGCATACAAGCGGTATGTTTTTCCTCACTCTTTATTGTTTTTTTTTTTTGGATTTGTGTCACTCTTTGGAGCTTGAATAAGCTGATTTTGTTGTATTTTTTTTAGCTAAATTAGGGTTTTATCAATGAAATATATAGGTTACATCTGGCGATACTATGTACAAATCAGCGAAGAGATTTGAGGATTTGAACTTATCTCCTGAGCTATTGAAGGGATTATATGTACAAATGCAGTTTGAGCGTCCTAGCAAGATTCAGGAAATTAGTTTGCCTATGATTCTTACGCCTCCCTACAAGAATCTTATTGCTCAGGCTCATAATGGTTCTGGTAAAACTACTTGCTTTGTGCTTGGGATGTTGAGTCGGATTGATCCAAAGCTTGCTGCCCCTCAAGCTCTCTGTATCTGTCCAACCAGAGAATTGGCTATTCAGGTATGATATAAGATGCGAATACCCTTTTTGTTGTTGACTTTTGTTTTCGCCTGCACCTGGAACTTGTTACTGGTAAAGAATTTCCTTAAAATTATTAAGGTTTAGGCAGATGGGAATAAATCAAGTTTTCGGCTTAGGCAGATGGAAAGAAATCAAGTTTTCCTTGTTGGCAACCAGGGTTGTGGCCAAATTGTCAATCAAGTGGTTGAGAGCCATGACGTCTTAGGTTCAAAACACTAGTTGACTCTTCCTATCTGTGGTGAGAGGTTAAATTAGTTGAGGTAGCCCCCCTAGATCTTTGATCAACATCATTGACCTAGGCCTATCTTTGGGTGCAACAATGATGTTGGCATTGGAGAGTTAATTTCTTGCAGGATCAATTACTTCACAACTTTAATGCTTAGTCGAATAGAAAGTTTTGCGCAACATTATGCGTGTCAGATTATGCATGCATTTTAGTTTTATATATGCTTCACTAGATATCTATTTCCCAGAAAGGTATATGCTACACGGCATATCTATATTATAGAAACTTTACTTACGTTGCTTGCATGTAATGTTGCTTGTATGGTTATGTTTTAACTTTTATGTGTTCATGCATATAGTTTTTGAGATGGCCAGACATGATGCAAAGTATTCATATTTGATTTGATTATTTGCTATCTAGAGTGGTGGCTTAAGCTGTTTTTTATGGGGAATTGTAGAATCAAATAGGAAGTTGAGGAAAGAATAATACTTTCAAGTGTTTTTACATTTCAAAGAAGAATCTAAGATGTTTCTTCATTATTCAACAAGCAAAAAAGTACTTTAGAAGGTTTAGTTTTAAATGGTTGATTGCAGAATATGGAAGTGCTATTGAAGATGGGGAAGTTCACTGGCATAACATCAGAGTTAGGTATCCCAGCAGATTCTGCCAACTATATTCCAATTTCGAAACGGCCGCCTGTCACGGCACAAGTAGTGATTGGCACACCTGGGACTATAAACAAGTGGGTGACGGCAAGGAAACTGGGCATGAGTTGTATGAAAATTCTTGTGTTTGATGAAGCGGACCACATGTTGGCAGAGGTAATTGGTTCTCTATCCGCACTTGCTAGTTCATTTGGATTTTCCCCCTCTTGTTGATGTTTATTGTTATACATGTGATTTTTGAATTATTTAAATCACTTATTCTTTTGTGTTTGTTGATGTAAAAATGTTTTTTGACCTTTGCTTTCTAAGATGAACGGTAGTGTTGAGCATAATGAGCTAGTTTTCTAGTTTCCAGTCTCATATTTAGGGATTTTGCTCCAAATGTTTAAGAGTTTGTGCTTTGTCCTTTTATCAATTTTCAGTATCTAAAATTGTTTTCTTCTGCACGCACAGAGTGGTTTTCAGGATGATTCCATAAGAATAATGAAGGCAATCGTTAAAGCCAGCGCTAACTGCCAGGTTGGTTAGAGTTTGGCCTTAGTGCTTTTTAAATTTTCAGTTCACCTGATGATGGAATTATCTTTGAGGTTTTTGCTGCTGCGAATTGCTTAGTTTGTAATAAGAGTCCGAAAAACTTCATTGGCCACATGCAAAGTTGAGTCTTTCAAATGGTTGAGCCTTAGAGTGGCACATTACGGTTTTCCTGATTCAGAAGTGAAAAGAGAAACTTTTGCAGCATACCTAAATTTAGCATATAAGAATTACAAATCAAATTGTATACTTGTTTTTCTTATGACGGTGGTTCGGGGACAACTTACCTGCACTTATAATAATTTACCTCCTAAGTAAATTTTTTCACGGAAGGCCTAGACAGATACAGGAAGAGACCTTCCTCAATGGTTGTTCGGTCGCACCTATGGTGCATCAAATTATTTTTTACAACAGTAGTAAGTATGCCTCTGTCGCAACTTATGTTGAGGGTGAATAAAAACTGATCATGTCGCTCCATTTTTCTTGAAACTGGTAAAGTTGCATTCTCTAATGATGGAGACCTTTAACAAATTGTTAAGAACAGCCTAAGGTACTTACAAAGAATTTCCCAACTGTTCAGCTTCTTCTATACAATGTTCTGTTGTATACTCGATCATAGTCCATTTGATCTCTGTTAGACAGAAGAAGAAAGAAGAAATAGATGGTTATTCGTCTTCTTTCTCAAAGTTATGTCACCCCATTTAAACTCATCTCATGCCAATAGTATATAAAATAAATGTACAAAGTAGTAAAATTTCTTTGTATTTTCTATTGACGTATAAAATGTATATCTCTCTGTAAGGAAGAATAACTCCTAGAAAAGTATAGGACACAAAATAGAAGTGCAGGTGCTAACATGTATAGAACATTTCCTTTCTTAGTAGGTATGTCCTTCATGGGGCATTTGCCAAATTCAGTTTTCCAAAACTAACCAACTAAGTTTGTTTTGAAGTACAACTGACAAATGCACATAGCACTCAGCAAAACAATAAAGAGAAGCAAAACCGATGCTAGTCTTTATTGTACTAGTAAAAAGGAATAGGGGCTGCCTCATGTTTCCTCTAAATGTACACTATGGGATAGGGAGTGGGAGTAGAACATCAAGCAATATGTAAAATCTAAATCTTCACTGTTTTCATTTAGTGAGTAATGAGTATAGTCTGAGGCTTAAATTAAGATGCATTTTATTGAGTCGGCCAATACCTGAGTTTATTTTCTGCAAAAAAAAGGGATGTGGTGAGGGCTGCAAATGGGTCTGTAAGTTATAAACCTGTAAGTTGTTGTTTACAATACATTCTTCCTGATAAGCTTTCCCCCATTGGACGATTATTTGGAAACAAATTGATGTTGAACTTTTCTTTTTCATCATCTTTATTTGCAGGTGCTTCTGTTTTCTGCAACGTTTGGGGAAAATGTCAAAGCATTTGTGACAAAAATTGTTCAAGATCTTTTTGTGCAAGATTACAATCAAATGTTTGTGAAGAAAGAAGAACTTTCACTGGATTCAGTGAAGCAGTATAAAGTGCAGTGTCCGGACGAACTTTCAAAAATCATGGTGATTAAAGACAGAATACTAGAACTAGGACAGAAGGTGGGGCAAACAATTATATTTGTTCGTACCAGAAACAGTGCAAGTATGTTGCATAAGTCATTGGTTGACTATGGCTATGAAGTGACAACAATTCAAGGTGCTCTTAGGCAAGAAGACAGAGACAAAATAATCAAGGAGTTCAAAGATGGATTGACACAAATTCTTATATCAACTGATCTTCTTGCTCGTGGATTTGACCAATCACAGGTAATTTTAGATTTGAGGCTTTCCAGTTGCCAACCTTATATATGCTATACAAAATTGTTTCTTCTTCTGGATGTGAAGCTTGTTGTGTAGCAATAATATTTTATCTCTTTCTTTCTTGATTTCTGTCTTGGTGGCTAACATTATAAAATCTTAAAAAGCTATTATAATCTGTTTGCAGGTTAATTTGGTGGTTAATTATGACCTCCCTGTGAGACACGAGAGTCCAACAGAGCCAGATCATGAGGTATACCTGCATCGGATTGGTAGAGCAGGACGTTTTGGACGCAAGGGTAATTTGTTGTCACTTTCTTATGCATGTTTCCTTGATATATTAATAGCTGAAAATGAACCACATATAAATGTTATGAACTTTACGCAACACTTCCCTCTTGTGTTGAGCAGGTGCGATATTCAACTTGCTGTGCAGTGACAGAGACAACATGCTAATGTCAAAGATTGAGAACCATTTCAACCATCAAGTGGCTGAGGCATGTATCTATTGTTTACTTACTGCATTTTGGGCTTTTCTTTATTTTTGACGCATAGGATCCTGCCCAAATTTTTTGTAGGACTAGATCATAGGTGCATACAAGTGCTTAGCATCTGGCTGCTTATGTTCATGGCCTTCTAAATAAGGCTGGAGATATAGTATCATGATTAACTATACACAGGGTTGGTAATTTGTGGCCTGAAATTAGTTTTAAAGGATATTACCCCCAGTTAAGATGGAACAAACTCGACTCCTCAGAATTTCTCCATTGTGTGTGTGAGGAGGGGAGTGAGGTTGCAAATTCACACTACAGTAATAACTAAAAACTTATAATTCAATTCCGAATGAAATGCAGATGTGATTCAAGATAAAGATAAGATGAACAAAGCATTTAGGATTATGGTCGAATGCAACATTTTGTAGTATGCTATTCACAGGAAAAAGTATCTGGCCAATGTCTAGTTCAATTTGGTATGATCCATGGTGACATGACACTAAACTCAAGTTAATTATTTCATGTTGGGTATGCAGATTCCCTCATGGAGTAATGAAGAAGATTTCGAAAATGCTCTGAAGATAGCTGGCTTGCTGTAAGCCGAGTAGAATGTTGGTTAACAGTTCTCAGGAGATATGCTCGCTCGCTCTACTTATTTCGATCTTTCCACTGTTGAGTTTTGACAACATCTATATATTTCACTGAAGCAGCATCAGCAATATAGACTCCGTTTATAGTGATCGAGTTTTGTCCAGTCTGTATTTTTTTCTTAATGTCTTGTTATATTCATCGACTTCGAGTAAAACAACCGTGATGACATTTGTATAGTTGACAGAGCAGTGCTCCTGAAAGGCTTTTCTTCTTTGATTGCTGTCATGCTTCACTTACCATTTCTGGTGTTACAAGTTCTCAAAATACACTGTCAAAAGGAACTAAATTTTTTTAGATGTCACATGAACATGTGACGAAAGATAATTATATTTTACTTTTTAGATGCTATAATTTGAGATGTCTAATTAGTGCCTTTTGTTGATGCATAATCTAATACTAATCCATATACAAACACAGCTATAAGGATCACTTTCCCCACCATATACAAGGTGTGAATTTGAATTAGTCGAGGGTGTAGTATGCATAAATATCATACATCGGGTCGTATTATTCATTCCACAGGACCTTGGTTGAAGGTTACGAAGTAAAGGGTCCTTGGATTATGAGCCTTTGATGGATCTTGGATCAACGTATGGAGTCCATCCATGGAGATTCTAGTCTTGATCCTCAAGTGTGTACCTGCAAATAGAAGAAGATGAACAGGTGGTTAGTCTGATTCACTTAGGGTCCTATTTAAACAAAGTATATATATAAACAACGTAGGTGTAGATGTGTTCGATAGGCAGAAAAATGTTCTCATTTTTGCAAATAATAAATGATTTTTTTACTTATTTTTGTTATCGATGAGTAAGCAAAACTTAGTGGAGGGGTGGTGGAGGTATAGTTACAGTTACGGAGGGATGGGGATGAGATGAAATGAGGACGAGATGTCACTTATAAAAATTGTATTTTTTATTTTCATTAGAAATTTTTTCAGAGATATCGGAGAATATTTGGGTTTCTCTTCAACTAATATATTACTTCTTCCTTCTTTTTTTCACACGTCAAACTTTGACTTGGGACATCTATTATAAATTAATGATTGTTATAATAGCAAGTTCAAATTTATCATTTATTCTAGATATAAACTCAATGTTAATAAATTGAGGATATAATAGTCCTTCTTAATTTGTCAAAAAATGCCAAATAAAAAGAAAAATCAAATTAAAAAATACATGATAAGTAAATAGAGTCATAGAAGTATAAACTAGTGGAGGTAGGATTATGAGAGATATATAAGGAGGACTAAAACGTCAGTTACAGAATATGTATTCTTTATTTCCATTAGAAATTCATTTTTTCAACGATATCGAATAATATTTTCTAAGAAATATTATTGCCCACTCCGAACGCCTTCAATTTAGGTTTATCTTCAACTAACATACTACAAACTAGTTCCACTTTTAGTCTTACTTAAGACTTTGTCTCCTTCCCCTTACAATTGACATGTTATAAGATTACATATAACAATTAATATTCTTGAAATATCATCATGGAAAATCTAAGAGAATCTTCAACTTCCACATATTTGTATGCCCCTTTAGTTATCTCTTTGATGGGCATAATTGCCTCAGCAATAGCATTACTAATATACCAGTTGATACTACCCAAATATTGCCTTGAAAGTAGAAATACACAAACTCTTATAAGCCCAACAATTCAAGAAACTCACTTACCTGTTGGAGTAGACAATAAAATCTTACAAAAAATACCTATCATATCTTATAATTTAATTCATACAAAGGGTAAATTATTTCATGTAGATGAAAATGAGTGTGCTATTTGCTTAGGTGAATTGGAAGATCAAGATTTGGTCCGCTCGTTGCCTATTTGTCGACACACTTTCCACGTGGCGTGCATCGATAAGTGGTTCGTGGCACACTCTAATTGCCCCGTTTGTCGTGCTCCAATAACGGAGATAGAGATATATGGCATGTATTTATTGGATTTAATATCGAATATAAATTTAAACGATGAAAATACTTCTTCTACTTCTACTTCATCATCAAAAATACAACCACGTGACATGCTTAGACATGATGTATCAATGGTAATGTCTAAAGAAAAGAGATCAACAAAGTTGTCATCACAAATAAGGAGATCATTGTCTATGGGTTACACTTATGATAATCATGAAGGAGATCACTCATCATTAAGTAGCAAATCATCAAAGTTATTGAGTTCATTGTCTCTAATTGGTAGGGAAAAAGGAAAACAAGTTATTCCCTACTAATCGCGAATTCAAATTTCATCGGAGGCAAAAATATTGAATAGGTGAGTTTTTCATGATATATTCAAGCCGTACTGAACACAGTTATTGTGTTGATGGAGGTAACATATTACAATAACATAGTTAGTGAAATTCTACAAGTGAGGTTTTAAAAGGATAGAATATACATAAACTTTACCATTATTATGTTTGTGAAATAACATATTAGCCATGATATTAATTGAAGTGCATACCAGATTATTGAAACACCATGATTATATTAGTTTTAAATAATCACTCCTTGCTTCCCCTTGCCCTTGAATTTTCTATTTGGCTCTAATTATTATTTTTAGTTGAGTTTTTTTGCTCTATTTTCTCTTTTTAAAGTGTTTTTCATTTATCTAGGAAGTTTTTTTAAAAAAACTTTTAGTCCTCTAATTATGACTAATTCTTATATTGATGCTTGTAATATTTACGTAATCACTTTTAGTTGTTAATTAATTGAATGAGTATTTCTAATATCATTGTTTGCGTGAATTTTTTTTTAATTAAATGCATTATCAGTTATTATATACTTTATTATTCACAAATTTGTCATGTTACATATGACATATGTGTCTATTAATTTAATTTTATACAAATTTAAGTGTTTACTTGTGTATATAAAAAATTAAAAAATATAAATGTCAATTAAAATTAAATTAAAAAGCATATTTAATTATTTATGTATGATGTATCAATTATAAAGAGAACGAACAAATGAATCAATATATTGTCATGTTCTAAGCCTTCACACAATTGATTTCCTCCTCTTGATGATATGCCTTCCCCTCTTTGTAATGCTACTACTTTATTCTTGGCATCTAAGATAAATCTTCAATCTCCATTTCTCTTTATTCCTACAAGCTAAGTCATTAAAAACAAATGACGTAATTAATTGCCACTAAAAATCTTTTGATGCAGGATATATGAATATTAACATTCTAGAAAGTATTACTAATCAGTTTAGTTAAGTACTTTTATCTTTATAAGTGTGATTGTTGTCTTCCGCTGAGTTAAGTAAGTCAGGCCAAGGGTTCGTTTGAGGCCAGTAATAGTCACAAAGTGTCAGTACTGCCCAGGGTGTAGGCTCGAAGTGTGACATAAAAAAAACATAAGACGTGTATTTCAGTAATTTTTCCTATTAATCAATTGCTTCATTTTAAGCCCATGGACAAAAGTTGCCTAACAATTCAGTAAACCACCTCAAGGTCGGATTGCGCAAACTAATGAAACTACAAATTGAAGAGTCAAATTTCTTGAGACAAAAATAGAAATGTAATTCTATTCTTGTTTTTATGTAACTTGCAACAAGGCATTAGCCAAATAAAAAAGTTTTTTCTTTTCTCCATTTTCAATTTATATGATACCTTTCGAATTCTGAGAGTTAATTAATTTTTTCATCGTAATTTAAATTCATCTTTTAAATAGTTTGAACTGTTCAATTATTGTGACTTATAATACTTTTAACATAGGTAAATTTTATCTCAACAAACTTAATGATTCCATATCAAATTTTAAAATTTTGATTCTTGAATTTAAACTACGCCACATAATTAAATTGGGATGGACTATGGAGTGAGTTAATATTTATTATTTTAAAAGATTTAAAATTTATATGTCGAAATATATAGTTTTGACTCTTAAAATTTGAACTGTATGAAAAAAAATTGAAACGAATAAAGTAAATATTAATTTTGCACAAGATATTAATCATTGAAAAATTACTATGTTAAAATTTATTTTTTTTAAAAAAGTTATATGATGATTAATTACATAATTGATTTTTTAAAGATCTATAAAAGCTACGGTTTATATTAAAACCTAATAACTTAAAATAAATGATATATATATATATATATATATATATATATATATATATATATATAAAATTAAAAAGACAAAAAAATTTTAGGAAGTATTTAATATTACGAATAGGTTTGAATATGCAAATCCATGCTAAGATTTTTTTTTTAAATGTATTCTACTTTTAAAATATATATTCTTGTTTGACAAGTGTCCCTTTTTTCTAATGAATAAATAATTATTAGTCAATTTTGGTTTTTAATGAAAAATAACTTTGTTGTTTGACTGCAGAGAATTACTTATTTTTTCTTCCATACCAAACACACACCCTAAGCAAACTATGTTGAATTAGCTTATACGAAAATGCATATTTATTTGTAAATGATGTTTGCAATAGGTTATAAAAATATATATTTTGTATCTATTAATTCAATATAAATATCAGACACGATACTTTACCTTATTTTATATAATATATACTTCAGAACATTGATTAATGAAAAAAAAATACTTTACTACATTAATCACGATGGCTTTTACATTGTGTATAGAATCTTTTAAACTTTTGTCCTATTCTTTTTTATTAATTAACCAAGAAAGAGATACAAGATGCTCTCTATACCCTACTTGCAAATGAATTTTTGAATCTTTTTTTATATATTATGGTTTATGGATTAAGTGTCAACTTCAAATCATTATGATTAACAAAAAATAATTTTTTTAAAAAAGAAATAATTAGTAAATTCAATACCAACCCAACCAACTGTTTGTACATTATTGGATGGGATCATCACATCACATTCTAAAATCAATCACTCCTTTAATTAGCAGTTGTTTGCCTAATTATTAGGCTCCACATATTATATATTAGAAAAAAAAATATTTATTAGTTCAAAACATAGGTTTGAAAGTTAACAACCATTAGGGAAATGACAAAAAGAAAGAATCAAATTGAAGAACTCATTGAGTATAATGTTATGGGGGGGGGGGGGGAATCCCAAATAATCACTTTTCAGTTCCTATAATTGAAAAATAATTATTTATTCTGAAGTTTTAAATTTGATAATTGAGCCATTTGAAGAATTGAAGAGTTCGAATGTAATGACTATTTTTCAAAGATGAAATTTATCAAAGTAATCCATCAAAGATTGATCAGACTTAAGTTAACTAATGCTTATGTTCGTGTCTAGTTTTACTCACTTTCAAAATAATTGAAAAATTTAATTTGTTATCTTTGAAGTGGTATTCGATACTTATATGATTAA